GACAAATGGTTAAAGAAGATGTGGCATACATACACACAATGGAATATCAGCCATAAAAAAAGAAGGCAATCTTGTCATTTGCAACAACACCGATGGACCTAGAGGATATTAGGCTAAGTGAAAAAAGTCAGACAGAGGAAAACAAATACTGTATGATTTAACTTATAAATGGAATCTAGAAAACAAAACAAATGAGTAAACACAACTAGACAGAAACAGTCACAGAGAGAAGAGGCAGTTACCAGAGGGGAAGATGGTGGGGGGATGAAACAGGCAAGGGAGGTTGAGAGGCACAAACTATCAGACACAAAATAAACGAGCCACAGATGATGTGATGCACCGTAGGAGAAATACAGCCAATAATTATGGAATGTATCTTTATGGTGACAGATGCCAACCAGACTTATCACGGTACCATTCTGAAACATATGCAAACATTGAATCAGTGTGTTGTGTATTAGGAACTGAGTTTTGTAGGTCAATTTTATACTTAACAAATGAACAAAAAAACAAATTCATAGACAGATCAAATTTGTGGCTACCAGAGGTGGAATACTGGGGGTGGGGGTGGGCGGAGAACTGAAAGAAGGTAGTCAAGGGTACAAAATTCCAGTTATACGTAAGTTCTAAGGAAAAAATGTACATAAAGACAACTAACACTGGTGTATGATATATATGAAAGTCAAGAGAGTAAATCCTACATGTTTTCTCCACAAGAAAAAAAGCTATTTTTTCTATTTCTTTAATGTTCTATTTATATGAGACGATGGATGGTCACTAACCCCATTATGATAATCAGTTCGTGATGTATGTTGATCATTATGTTGTACACTTTAAACTTACAGTGTTTTATGTCAATTATGTCTCAATAAAACTGGAAGAAAAAACAAGTTTTAAAAATACTATACTGACTATTTGAAAGTTGCTAAGATAGTACATCTTAAAAGTCCTTTTCACAAGAAAAAAAATTAGTAACTATATATGTGACAGATTTTAACTATCACCATACTTACTGTAGTGATTTCATAACAGATATAAATATCAAATCTTATTGCACATCTGAAACTAATACTATGTTCTATATTAAGCAAAACTCAAATATGTAGATATATAAAGTTTAATTGTATTAACAACTCTAATCATAACTTCCAGAACATACCAAGGGGGGAAATGTAGAGTAACAAGAACTCTTATACACTGCTGGAAATACTGTAAATTTAAAACCACTATGGAAAAACTCCTGGAATCAGCTAGTCAACTGAAGATGCACATAACTTATGCAATTCTACTTCAAGGTAGTACTTTAGATCAGTATCTTTTAATAGGAGCAGGAATATCCTCAGCATTTCAGAAAATTCAGCATCTCCAGTCAAGTGACCATTAGGCCAGCAGTAGTCTCTCCAACCACTCTATCACTGGGACAAACAGAAACATCCTCACCTATTTCTAAACTGGAGCAGGGTGCAGATACACAGTTTTGACTGAGGTATACTGCCCCAGAGAAGGGTTTTCAACCTCAGCATACTAGTGACATTTTGGAATAATTCTCAAATCTTGAGGGGAGCTGTCTTGTGCTCTGTTGGATGTTTAGAAGTATCTTTGGCCTTTATCCACTAAATGCCAGTTAACAGCTAGTTGTGATAACCATAAACAACTCTAGACATTGCTAAATGGAGCTAAAATCATCCCCAGTTTAAAATCAGTGTCCTAGAGAAATCTTTTCATAGGTGCATCAAAATATGTCCAAGAACATTCACAGCAGTAATGGTTTAGCAGCAAAAAAAAAAAAAAAAAGGGAAAAAAAATCAAAATTTCCATCAACATTAAAATAAACGGACATATACAGTAGTGAAACTGACCTATAACTTTATGGAACAAGATGGATGAATCTTAGGAATATAATTTAGATAACCAAAACAAGTCAGAAGAAAACACATGATTTCTTTTCACATAAAATTCAAAATCAAGCAACATAAAACAGTATCTTGTTTAAAAGCAAAGCATGTTAAAAATATACAGATTCAGGATGATGGTTACCTTTTTAAGGTAGAAAAGGTACAGAAGCATGGAGGGGCACACACGGATTTTAAAAGCTATGGTATTGTCCTATTTCCTAAACTGAGTGCTAGTTATACTTGGATATTTGATATCTTTATACACCCTACATAATATATAGATATCATATTTATTCAATATTTAATAAAATAAAAAATTTTAGGCAGATTGCTGTAGGCAGATTGCTAAAATGGTTCCTCTAATCATGCTTTTCCACTCCCATGCCAGTCTCCACAACTTGTGTAATCTCGCCTAAAGTGTGGATAGACCCTGTAACTTGCTTCTAATTAATGGAATATGGAAAAAGTAATAGATTGTGAGGATGTAATTTAGGTCCCTAATGATCTGACTTTTTATTCATCAAAAGGGAGATTATTCTGGGTAGATCACTCCTCATCAGGTGAGTCCACTAAAACAAAATCTTGAAGGTAAGAGATGTTCCTTCTGGCCTTGAGGCTTCCACAAGTCTCACAGCTGTGAGGACATGAATCCTGCCAACAATTACATGAGTTTACAAGGGGACCCTCCACCCAAGTCCCAGACAAGACTGGCCCTGGCTGTTACCTTGACCGCAACCCTGTGACAACATGAACAGGGCACCCAGTTAAGTCGCGCCTGGACTTCTGACTCATGGAAAAGGTAAAACAATAAATAATAAAAGGGTGCTGTTTTAAGCCACTAAATTCGTGGTAAATTTGTTACACAGCACAGAAAGCTGATACAAACACTTTTTATGAATTTTATTCCTAAGAAGCAAGGTAACTATTATTAATCACTTTACTGGGAAATCAGACAGCCAACATTGCTATAGCACATCCAGCAAGCACAGAATTCTTAACTTCTGTTTAGTTTGGTTGAAGAAGGTTTGAAAAGCATAATCATCATAGCTGACAACCTCAAATTAGATCATTCATGTGTCAAGGAGCAAAAGGAAAATTAGGCTTCCCTGGTCACTCAGCTGATTAAGAATCCACCTGCAATGCAGGAAACCCCAGTTCGATTCCTAGGTCGGGAAGTTCCCCTAGAGGAGGGATGGGCTACCCACTCCAGTATTCTTGGGCTTCTCTGGTGGCTCAGACGTAAAGAATTCGCCTGCAATGTGGGAGACCAGGGTTCGATCCCTGGGTTGGTAAGATCCCCTGGAGGAGGGCATGGCAACCCACTGCAGCATTCTTGCCTGGAAAATCCCGTGGACAGAAGAGCCTGGGGGCTACAGTGCATGGGGTCGCAAAGAGTTGGACACGACCGAGCAACTAAGCACATGCTCAAATCATCTCTTAAAAAGACAGAAAGCTATTATCATAATCCATACTTGTCAAATAAACAAATTTTCTAAAACTCTTAAAAGAAAAAAAAAGCCCCAAACCGTGATAGTATAGTATTTATAATCAGAAATGTGAGACGTTCCAAATGATTGTCAAGGCTTATACTTCCTTCCTCTTGAGACTATTCTCAAGTGAAGAATTATTTCCTGATTCTTTTATCCTCAAAGCAATGTTTGGCACATAGCAAGTGCTTACAGTTTGCTGAATAAAGGAACTCCATTTCAAAAGATGATTTGAAGATCAATAACCTGCCTTAGGTCACAATGTGTTAATTGCAGAACAGAGGCTAAGACAAGGTTCTTTTGTCTGTCAATTGGCTGCTTTCTTCCTATATCGGAATTCATTTCTTAATTACTGCCAAACCTCATTAAACACACATACCACATAAATCATTAAAAGACTATTAAGTATTCAATATGATTTTTTTCATAATATTAATTCTACCTGTCTTACTATTTTGTTAGCCTATACCACAGTTCCTATCATTCACTGTACTAAATGATTGACAATTTTATGCTCCACATCAACTAAAAAATGAAATAATTCTACAGACCAGAGCCAGTAACAGTACTTATAGATTTTCTGAGGTATTTATTAGCCTGATATAGGCAACAATGATCTTTTCCCAGGATAATCAAGGGAAGAGAACCACAGAAGTCAATGCTACCCCTTAAAATGAAGGGGAGCCACTCCTATATTCCTGTTTTAAAACAGCAGTCCATCAATCCCAGCCCCCTAAAATCATTCCTCAAAAGATATGCACCAGTTATCTGAACAGTCTGTCTCTTTTGTGACATCTGTTTGTTCCCTGTTCTGTTTGCAACATTTCTCTTTGAATGGCCCACCATTAAAAATATTTTAGATTATATGATGAATATAAAACAGGTACCAAAAGTTTTATGGCCCTATCTAAATACATATAATTTTTAAAGTCAAGTGACAATACTTTAAACATCTTTAACAGTGATTACACAAACTCTCTTAAGGGGAAAAAGTCTTTGTATTAATACAGAAAGTGCACATTTTAGGGAACAGGTACTTACTTAAGGAACAGAACTGGTTTCAAGGAAATGTTAAGGATCTGCTCTCTCTGCACCCCTCTTGCTTTCTTGGCCAAAAAAAATGGAAATGGTAGTAGCTGGCTGATTGTTAATTTGGAATGGGAAGACATCACAGAGGGATAAAAGGTGAGATACTGGCATCCTAGATAATTTCTTCTCTATTAACAAAATAAGAAACTCTAGTGAGTAGCTGCCAGGTATGAGATGGGGTGGAGGGTTTACATTTGACAACAGAAGTGATCCAGGTTGGGGTCTTACTCATAGGAGTCTGGAAAGGGAGGATCCCACCTCCACTTATCCCTCCTGCATGGATTCAGCAATCCTCTTCACATGTGATCCTGATACTTGATACAAACAAAATGATAAATGTGCATCTCTAGGAACAGTAAAAAGTGGGGGAGGGGTTAATGATCTACTTCCAAGTCCTATTCATCATTTTAATACTGCCAAATACATGTGTATCAGCAAAATTTTCAAGGCTGAAAGAGAATAGCCCAAAAAGAAAAGAGAAACCATTCTCACAAGTCATCGTCACCAAAGGAGAATTAAGCGGACTTACTGTTAAGGAAGCAATCCCTTTGTGGTAGAATTTTAAAGACTCAGCAATGCAAGAAAGTGCTGAACTATAATTCTCTTCTTGTAACCCAGTGAGGCACTGTTCTGCATGTGAGAACTCCTTCAAACTATTCAGCCAGAAGTAGAAATGTTCTGAGGCAACCTGAGTCAGCAAACTCTGATAAAGCTCTCTGGCCATGTCATGATTACCCTAAAAAAAAAAGGTGGGGGGGCGGGGCAGAAATGGAGGGGCATGATGAGAGTCTTACACTTGAATTGGTTGATGTAGCAGCTAAAAGAGAAATTCAAACCCTGGATAAGTTTTAGCAATCATTCCTCATATTATATAACTGTGTGAGACTCCATCAAAGTATTTCTTCAGAGAAAATATGCTGAGCTGCTTTTATGTAACGTAACGCCTCAAGTTCTGTACCAAAACAGTTCCAAAGAGAAAATGAATGGCGTTATCTGTAACTAGAATTCTAGTTCAAGATTTAGAAGGTATAAATCCTTATTGTATGTCATTTTTGTATGAGCTATTTAGTGGGGTGGGCAGAAGTCCAGTTAAGTTCCATCAAGTATTACTGTGCCCTCTGGAAATGATCTTCGGAGAGGGAGGGAGCTGAGAGGGGATGTGAATGCCTGTTAACGCCTGGGGTCGAGGGATGCTCACGGTCCTGCCCAGTTTAAGAATGATAAGGTGGGGGAGAAAAAGGGAAAAAAGATGTGGGAAGCTAAAAGGGGAGGAGAGAAACATGAGTGGGAAGGAGCTGTGTTCACGAGAGCACAGGGTAAACTGAAAGTGCTGCTAACAACCTATAGCCAGAAAGCTCCCATTTTGGGGATTCCCGTGGAACTTCTCCATAACAACCTATATATTGTTCTCATGTGTATATGTTAAAAATTAGGTCCTTTCCTTCATCATCTTCTAATCCCGTGACTAAAAAGTACTTCCACCTTCATCTTTAGTCTTGACTAGCAGTAACAATCACACAACCTAAAGGTTCGGAATCTGCCCTTTTCAGCCACCCCGTTCCCACAGGAGGACAGCACATACCATTCGGGATGCCTGTCTGGCAATTCGGTAGACAGTCCATCCATTGGAGACACTTTCAAGCTGCTGCTTTATCACTGCCTTCACTTCAGCAGACAGTGCTTTCTGACTGGCTACAAAAATCACAGTGGCCAAGCTCACCTAACATCGAGCAAGAACAAAGCCAAGAAAATCGTTAACGCTATCCAATGTTATAGGTAACTTTACCCAGAAGGGTGAAAAACTAATTAGAGCCTACTGAAAAAGAACAACATTTGTCTTCCTTTGACACTTACTAAATTTCCACTTTATTCCATTACTCAGAACATTGTGTATAACAGCAAATAATTAGAAACAATGCCCATTAATATGGATAAACTATGATATTAATATAATCACACAATGAAAAACTATAGAGCAGTGAAATGGATAAACCAGAAATACTCTTATCAATATACATTCACATAAAAGAGGCAAAATGCAAAAGATTACATGTACGATAACATATAAAGTTAAAACACACAAAAAATGTTGCATATCACTTAGGATACATACTAAAGCAGTAAATATAGAACAACATGTATGGGAATGACAAATATCAGTTTTGGGGTAGTGGTTACCTATCCTGACAGGAAGGAAGACGACACCATCAGGGAGATAATAGGTGGGTACAAGTCAACTGTACTAGCAACACTTTTTTCTTAAACTAGGTGACGGAGTCAAGACCTCTCATCATATTATTCCTGATGTGTTTTTGAATATTTCGCTTCATAATTTAAAGTTGTTTTTAAAATAGTACTAACAAAAAAAAAAGGATAAAGAACATTAATTGAAAATTCCGCTTTAATGAAAAGCAGACTTGGCTACCTGCTTCTCAGTATTCCAAAGCCAACATATACAAGGATCCATACATAGTGTGATAAATGCATGATTTCCACGACCACTGCCACTTAAGACATCAGGGTAACCTTTCCTGATAGCAAAGATGAGATGGGGGCGATCTTTTACATAATGCCCCCTGCAGGATTAAACATAAAATGGGGTTGAGTAAATAATTTCATTAAGCATTTCCCCAAGCTATATAATCAGATGACCACAAACAATATGGAGAGGCTACTTTGAAGCTTAATTCCAATTTAGGCCTATTTACCACTCAGTCTCCTCTCAGCCCTGGAGAACTTTCAAGTAAACATTATTACACAACTTCCATGCCCTCTGGTTTTTTTCTAAGCATGTACCTTTTCCAACCGCAGGATTGTACTGAAACCTAAACTGGATCCTCAACAGCTAAAGAGGTCCTGGACTGGCAAAGAGGAACTGATTTAATTCCTCTTATGGTCACTGATATCACTAGGTCATTTTACTTATATTTTTGGAAGGACAAAACAGGGTTTCGCTCATTATTTATTTGCTTTGTAGAAAAGAGGGGGAAAAAAACCCCTTCAGTTTCATCTTGTCCTTCGTAATAAAGCAAAAATATCAGATTGAAGGCTTTGGCTACACTAAGCTGATTTGACAGGGCTTAGGAAGAAAGCAGTTTTACATGTGAACTAAACAGGGCCTTCTGTATCAGAAGTGGAAACAGCAAAAAACTCCAGGTCCCCACTGTATTTTCACTTCAGCATGCTCCTGGTCTTAGCTCATTATTTTAACCTGCTGACTTCTTGGATTACTGATAACCCTCCCTAGACCAGAACCCATTCACCCACAGGAGGTTTGAAAAGTCGCTCTTTACCAGAAGCTCCTGTTGCTTATCTGTGGCAGATCGTCCGATCACCTTGTACAGCTCCACGAGGTCACCGAGCATCCCATCGCCCAGCACGGGCAGCTGCATGGCAATGGCGGCCAGGCAGTGGCACATCAGGATGCGGGCAGCGTCCTGAGCACTGTGCAACTGAGTCAGCAAGGTCTCAACCACGGACTGGCTGAGGTGGGGCCTGCCCTTGGCCAACTTCACCATGCAGTTCAGAGCAATCTGCGTATTGAATAGAAAGTGGACTAGTTACATTTGGAAGGTATGAAGGGAAACTTTAAAGAAAGTAACTCTCTAAAGTTACTAGGAAGAATCAAAATTGATGTGTTGGCAGGCACAAAAAACATACTGTGGTCCCACAGGCATTCTGGGGATTTGCGAATCACATGCTGCCTATTTCCTTCATCATCTCTTGATCATCAGCTTCTATTTAACAGTGCTAGCATCTTTATTATTCATCATTATAACCACATCATACCCTTTCTTAACATGCTGAAATAAGTCATGCTTTTTCTCAAACTATACCTTAAACAAGATACAGTTCTTACTTTCTCCAATGTCTATCTAATAGCCTTTTATTTCTATCAGTCCTACTTTTCTTAATTATTTTGTGCCATCAACTATTACACTTCATGTTTAACTCCAACAATAGTCTCATTTCACCTTAAAATTTTTAACTATCTCTAAGATGATAGCTAGGTGAAAGTAGATTAAAACTAGGGCTTTTATACTGTATAAACTAATATACACTTACACATTTGTGAGCTGGGCTGCAGTAATTTCATTAGTTCTTTGTGACCTTATCAGTGTTACCTCAGATTATAAAACTTGCAAAAGTACAGGAGTTCTGTCTGTTTAACTTTGCTTTACATTATCTAGGACCATTATACGTATCTATTACAACTGAATAAACACTTTCAACTTATGGCAAAATAGGACAAACTCAAATTTTTACTTCATCTATTTTTTGGAATAACAACAGTCAAAATACTAGCTTTGAAAGTGAAGATCAAGGGCAAATATTTGTTTAAGCCAGAGGCTGACAAACTCTTGCACTTGGACCAAATCCTGCCTGTTTATGCAAATAAAATTTTACCAGAACACAGTCATATCATTAACCCTTCCCTTAAAAAAACAAAAACAAAAACATTGTCCATGGCTATTTTTTCCCCTATAATAGTAGAACTGAGTAGTTGTGACAAAGAGTGCATTGTCTGCAAAGCTTAAAATATTTCCTATCTGACCCTTTACAGAAAGACTGCCAATCCACACTTCCGGCAATGAAAACAGGCGTTATATTAAAACAGCTGACGTTCTCACCTTTAAGGTGGCTTGAGCACCTGGGCTGTCATCTTGGCTACACAGCACCAGAAGGGATTCCAGGCCAAAGACAGCGTCTTGCTCCAGGGCCAAAAGGTCTAGAAGAAAAACACTGTGTTTTTAGTGGTCAAGTAGAGAAGACTACATACACACACACAGATGCACACAGAAGGAAAAACATTCCGGACCAGAAAACACAAAGCAGCTTAGCTAAGCAAAATACTAACAACAGCAAACCATGGATTGACATGGGTGTGCCAATCTTCCAAACTAGTCTAACATTATACAGGTCCATTTCTACCTAGATGCAACCTTCTCATTGAAGTGGAAATGCTTTCTAGAAATAATCCAGATCCCACTTCATCTTACTCGTGTTTTAAGTCAGATCATAAAGAAACGAACCCTTTAGATGTCTCATGTAATACCAGTACTGTATCATCTTTTCACTACCTTTGAGCTAAAATTTCTCTAAAGTTCTGTGTGTGTGTGTGTGTGTTTGTGTGTATATATATATAAAACCACATTTAGGTTAATATTAATATATGTCAGCTTTGAGAATACAGAGCAATTTTCTGTGTTACATGGTAGATAATACTTACTACTATGCCAAACATTGAGTTACTGAAATCAGAATGAACAAACAACTTAAATGCCTTTTGAGTTAGTGTAAGAGCTTGGCAAACAATGTCTGGTGAAGATCAAGGTGCTGGGAAAACAAAGATACTAGTCATAAGCAGTGCTGAAGCCTAGTGGCGATAAGAAGGACTGCTAATCCTTAACAAAGATCAAAATAAGCAGTGAAACAGATGAAACATACAGAATGCATTCCTGTTTTTGAACACCAGCATGAATTTCTTTAGGTCAAAAGATGTTAAGAGTACAAAAAAATATATGCATTTTTTCTCTATGCGCATCCTTCTTGACTAAGCAAGTCGTTTAATGTCATAGATACCAAGAGATAAACTCAGTGACAATTTAATTTACATTGCTCTGTTAATTCATTTGCCCTCTAGGTGAAACTACTGGTTACTTAAGCCTCTCAATAACTTCTATGCTTTTTCTCCCCTAAATTTTCTAGTTTTTTTTTTTAAACAAGTGAACAAACTGATAATCACTGGATAGTCATAAGCAGTCTCTATCCATAGCACCGCATGTGCAAAGGTAAAGCAATAGGAGGAGATGGGCAATGCTCCATAAAATCTTTCAGTTCCGCACTCCCAATCCCAAGGTCCTCATTTTGTTTTCCCAAAGAATTAAGTAATCTTGAGAAAATCTACCCTAAGAACATTCAGGAGGAGGTGACTAATAGATAAAAGCACATAGTCTAAAAACAATAAGGGATTAAAAAATGAAATACAAACGGCTCTGGTGAAACGCCAATCTAAAAGTTCATACATAGTATCAGTCTTGATCAAACTTACCTTTTTCTTGACAAGATACAGTTATATTAGTTAGGACTCTCACTCCATGAGCTGCAATGCCCCTGTTATTATGGTAACAGCACTCTTGGGCTAATTTGACTAAATCAGAGGATCTAGGGGATGAACCCACATTTCCTAAACAAGCAAAGAAAAGTAGGACAGATTTAATGAATTTAACAGTCCAAAAGCAGTTCACTTTATAGGTTTATTTTTTATCATTTTCAAGAGAAAATCTCTAACAATGAATTTCAACAAAATTTTCTATCTCTACCCTATGATCAATAAACAAAACTATTCCTTTTTCTCTTGTTCACATACTTAGAATAAGTATATGCTAAGTACTTTTGTAATGATTAAGATCTAAAATTAACATAGTACTCCCCCCCCCCAAATATTAATAAAAATTGACTAAGAAACACAGCAAAAGCCAAGATTGTATCTTGGGCATTCAAATGGATCCTCCTTAAAATAGAATCATTACAAGGCTTCTTGTCAGATAAAAACCTTTCATTCAAGAGAGGAGAGAAAAGAGAAACAAAAATTTTAAGTTTGCTGTTTCCACCTCAATTGTTGGCATATAGTTATACTGCAAAAGGTTTATGTAAGAATTTTTTATTTTAGAGCTAGCAAGGACTTGGAGACCTTCTGATTCAATACTATTTTTACAGAAGAAATTGAAGCCTAAAGATCTTAAGCATCTTGCCATTGAGGTCATATAAACTTGCTAGTTATGCACCAGCTTTGTGCTTTATACGGTAAGTTTTATCCTATAGTTAAAGGTCACACTTGAAATTCTGTAACATAAGGTTTATGCTGTGAATGTTTTTATTTATAGCAGAGAAGCTCTCAGTTATAAATGAATGAGTATCCAGAAGAATCTGAAGATTAAAGCTAATTCAGCTTCTCAGCAGGGTCTTTCATTCCTGTCTTTCTCTTCCCTGTTTATTTTTCCATGATTTCTATCAACTAAAACCTTGTCTTTTACACTGAGGGCAATCACACTTTTTGAGGTTTGACGGGGACACCATTACTAATAACAACAAGCATAAACCAAGACTACCCCAGGTAGTTTGGGACATATGGTCACTTTACTGATTTCCAGTTTAACATAAAACTACTACCATAGGTAAAGCCTCAGTGTTTTTTCAACAGGCAAAACATGTGAAAGATGAAACTATGATTTCTTTTTACAAAACAAGGGAAATTGTCATTTTCTCCGTTCTTCCCCTTATCCATGTAATACGGACAATGACAACTCATCTACAAATTTACAAATATGTTTTGAACTTGCTTTTTTCCTTTTTGTTTCTCATTGAGATGTCAAAGAAAACTTGGGGGGAAAAAAAAGTCCCTAAACTCACAAACCAGCATGACCTTATTATTAACTTTCTGTAATACTTTAAAAAATCTTTTCCCTCATGCATACAATTACAATTTTAAAATTCATAATCAGGATAAGTAGATACTATCAATATTTTGCCTTTAAAATGTAATATTTGTGAGCATTTTTCTATGTTAATTGTTTCATGGATAAAATTATTATTTTTAGTTTTTTTTATTTAGAAATAATTTACTAAGATAAGTTTACTTGCTTAAAACAGTTCAACCAATAGTAGGAAAAAGGTAAAAAGTGAGTGAGTGAAAAGTCTTCCTCATCCACCTAAGGTTATGTTTCTTTTGTATCATTCCAAAGAGTCTATTTGTAAGCAAAATCCTTTCTTTTTTCCTGTTTTATACACTGCTGTGCATCCTGCTTTATTTCCCCCTAGACATTATGTAATGGAGATTATTCCATGCCATATATCCTTTTTAGTAAGCTGTACTGATTGCTATTGCAGTTATGTATCATAATTTCTTTAATGAGTTCCCTACTGATGGACCTTCTTATGCTACTCCATCTCCAGTGAAGGACAGTATTCTGCTACTATATTAATGATGCTATGAATAACCATGTACATATCATTTCTCAAATGTGAGAAAAATTTTTAGGATAAATTCCAAGAAATGGAATTTCTCTGTTTTTCACTTATAATTTTGATGAGTTCTTCCAAATTACCTACGCTGAAGTTTAACAATTTACATTCCCGGGTGCGCGCTGGGGCCGCGGAGGGAAAAAGCGCGCCGCATCCGGGGAGAGTGCGCCCAAGCCTCTGGCTGCCTGAACCGCTCAGGCCGGGGAAGGCACAAAACGCAGGCGCAACCGAATCTGCGCTTTTGTGGAGTACCCGAAAACTGGAACCGCACTCAACGCAGGGCCCGCTCCATATAGAGCAGCCGGGAGCCTGAGCAGTGTAGACGGCGAAAGCACTGACGCAAACCCAGTGTGGCCGGAACACGGTGAGTGCTGTCCACACAGAGCGGTATCTGTCTGCAGCGCCCCGCCCTCCCCGCAGCAGGACTGAACTGAACTAGCGAACCTAAATAAGAGATCACCTCCGCCCGCCTGTGTCAGGGCGGAAATTAGACACCAAAGAGACGGCAAACAGAAGCCAAATAAACAAAGGGAACCGCTTCAGAAAGGACCGGTGCAACAGATTAAAATCCCTGAAGGTAACACCAACTACACCGGAAGGGGCCTACAGATATCGAGAAGTGTAAGCTGGAAAGAGGAGCTATCTGAAATGGAACTGAACCTATGCTAACTGCAACAACTCCAGAGACATTCCTAGATATATATATATATATTTTTTTTTTAATTAAAAAAATTTTTTTTTCTTTCCTTTTTAATTTTTTTTAATTTTTTCTCTTTTATTTTCTTTTAAAATACCCTATTACTCCCCCATTACTCCTCAACTTTCATTTTCATATATTTTTACGATTTTTTTAATTAGGGAAAATTTTTTTTTTTCTTTTTCTTGTTTTTCTCTCCTATTTCCTTTTAAAGTCCTCTAATACTCCTCTATTATTCCTTAATTTTCATTTTCATTTCACTATAACCTTGCCAAAAAAAAAAAAAAAAGAGAGAGAGAGAGAAACCCTATTTTTAAATCGAACTTCATATACAGTTCTAAATTTTTTTGTGTGTTTTTGTTTTTGTTTTTAAATATTGTATTTCAAAGAGTCTAACCTCTACACTAGATTTTTAATCTTTGTTTTTCAGTAGTATGTGATATAAATTTTGGTCATTTAAGAATCCAATATTCAGTTCCCATTTCTATTCAGGAGTGTGGTGATTACTCTCCCACTTTTGACTCTCTGTTTTCTACCTCAGAACACCTCTATTTCCTCCTTTCCCCTTCTCTTCCCAATCCAACTCTGTGAATCTTTGTGGGTGTCTGGGCTACGGAGAACACTTTGGGAACAGATAACTGCGTAGATCTGTCTCTCTCCTCTTGAGTCCCCTTTTTCTCCTCTTGCTCACCTCTATCTCCTTCCTCCCTCTCCTATTCTTCATGTAACTCTGTGAACCTCTCTGGTTGTCTCTCACGGTGGAGAATCTTTTCACTATTAACCTATAAGTTTTATTATCAGTGCTGTATAGTTGGAGAAGTCTTGAGACTATTGGAAGAATAAAACTGAAATCCAGAGGCAGGAGACTTAAGCCCAAATCCTGAGAAAACCAGAAAACTCCTGACTACACAGAACATTAAGGAATAAGAGACCATCCAAAAGCCTCCATACATCAAAACCAACCACCACCCAAGAGCCAATAAGCTCCAGTACAAGACATACCAAGCAAATTCTTTAGCAACGCAGGAACATAGACCTGAGTGTCAACATACAGGCTGTCCAAAGTCACACCTAACACACAGACCCATTGCAAAACTCATTACTGGACACTCCATTGCACTCCAGAGAGAAGAAATCCAATTCCATGCACCAGAACGCTGACACAAGCTTCCCTAACCAGGAAACCTTGACAAACCAATCGTCCAACCCCACCCACTGGGTGAAACCTCCACAATAAAAAGGAACCTCAGACCACAAGAATACAGAAAGCCCACTCCAGACACAGCAATCTAAACAAGATGAAAAGGCAGAGAAATACCCAACAGCTAAAGGAACATGAAAAAAGCCCACCAAGTCAAACAAAAGAGGAGGAAATAGGGAATCTACCTGAAAAAGAATTTAGAATAATGATAATAAAAATGATCCAAAATCTTGAAAACAAAATGGAGTTACAAATAAATAGCCTGGAGACAAAGATTGAGAAGATGCAAGAAATGTTTAACAAGGACCTAGAAGAAATAAAAAAAAGTCAATTAAAAATTAATAATGAAATAAATGAGATCAAAAACACTCTGGAGGGAACCATGAGTAGGATAACAGAGACAGAAGATAGGATAAGTGAGTTAGAAGATAAAATGGTGGAAATAAATGAAGCAGAGAGGAAAAAAGAAAAAAGAATCAAAAGAAATGAGGACAACCTCAGGGACCTCTGGGACAATATGAAACGCCCCAACATTCGAATCATAGGAGTCCCAGAAGAAGAAGACAAAAAGAAAGGCCATGAGAAGATACTCGAGGAGATAATAGCTGAAAACTTCCCTAAAATGGGGAAGGAAATAGCCACCCAAGTCCAAGAAACCCAGAGAGTCCCAACAGGATAAACCCAAGGCGAAACACCCCAAGACACATAGTAATCAAATTAACAAAGATCAAACACAAAGAACAAATATTAAAAGCAGCAAGGGAGAAACAACAAATAACACACAAAGGGATTCCCATAAGGATAACAGCTGATCTATCAATAGAAACCCTTCAGGCCAGAAGGGAATGGCAGGACATACTTAGAGTAATGAAAGAGAATAACCTACAACCTAGATTACTCTACCCAGCAAGGATCTCATTCAGATATGAAGGAGAACTCAAAAGCTTTACAGACAAGCAAAAGCTGAGAGAATTCAGCACCACCAAACCAGCTCTTCAACAAATACTAAAGGATCTTCTCTAGACAGGAAACACAGAAAGGTGGTATAAACGTGAACCCCAAACAACAAATTAAATGGCAACGGGACCATACCTATCAATAATTACCTTAAATGTAAATGGGTTGAATGCCCCAACCAAAAGACAAAGGCTGGCTGAACGGATACAAAAGCAAGACCCCTATATATGCTGTCTACAAGAGACCCACCTCAAAGCAAGGGACACATACAGACTAAAAGTGAAGGGCTGGAAAAAAATATTCCATG